AGTATGAAAAGAAGCAAAAGGGGCGGAGAGTTTACCAAGCTATTATAACCCACACTCCATCACCCAACAAAAAAGTTGCATAAACAGGTCAAGAGAAAAGAGAAAACCCTTTCATGAAGCAGAAACCTTGAAAATATTGGAAATCTAAAGTTACCCATCACAAAAACCCTAATCTGAAACACAGTCCCGGAATGAGAAAAGAAGAAAGAGAAGGGGTGAGGGAGTTGAAGAAGAAGCCAATCAGAGCTTAGATCAGGGGAAAGCAGAAACGGACAGAGAAGATTCTTGGAGCCATGATGAAAAAAATCAGTCCAATGATGAACCTAAAAAGAGTTAGACTGACAAAAAAAAACACACACACACACTATAATCAGAGCCATAAAATTTAGGGAGAAAAATAACATAAAGTAATGATGATATGATGATATCCTTTCCCTCCCTCCTGTCTTTGCTCTCTCAGTCAGGAAGAAAAAAAAAAAAGGAGTCAAAACCTTTCATCATTACACCAATCTGCTCTTGCCTGGCCAACAACCTTAATTTCTCTCCTGAGTCCTGAGACCACAAAAAAAAAAACATATAAAAAAACCTTCAGAATTGGCATGACCTGGAGATGATCAATATGTAAAAAGATAAAGAAAGAAGTGATAAAAGATCTTTTTGTACATGAAAGCCATAATTGGGGGGAATGAAGCCTGGTCCGACATCACTAACATTAGATCAATGATCATAATCTCCCAACTTTAATCTAAGAAAATTGAGAGAAAAATTGGATGAATTGAGGTTGAATCATAGATCTAGTTGGTGACCTCGAGCCAGACAACATTCCCCTCAAAAGACCGGCTTCCTTCTGTGTCTTCTCCTCCATTCAAAGAGTACCCTAATCAAGAGAGAGAAAAAGAGGGGGATAGGGAGAGATTGGTTTATGTTTGTGATGAAAGTAATGAATGAGAAATGATGTGGGTGAGTGACAGAAGTGAGGAAAAATAAAGTGGGGATATATGGAGATAAAAAGGCTAAGGAAGGAGAGAAAGAAAGACGAAGAGGTGAAAAGGACAAAGAAAGTAATAAAAGCAGCAGACCCCCTGACCCTACATCTGGCTCTTGCATTCCAGAGATGACCACGACTCTTAATCTCTCTCGTGAATTTGCATCTCCATCTCATCCTTCTCTAGCATTAGTAGCATGCAATATATATAGAGGGAATTTCAAATTCATTACCTAATCACACCATCACCTTACAAATATCTTAAATTCTTAATCTTTGACTAACCCCATTTATGAATTAAACTAAAATGCACAAAAATCAAAACCGAATTGAATGCCAACTGTGAATAGGCTTTCTAGCTTATGAAGTTGATGATAATAATAATTTTTTCTTTTGTAACAATATGCTAATACCAGTTCAACCAATAACAAGTCATTCATAACAAATTAAGAAAATACAATAGAAAATTATTTTTTAAAACTCTTTAAAAAGTAAATCTTACTCAAACAATCAGGCCAAGTTATTTAAATAAAAAATGAGAAATGATTTTTATATAATTTTTTTGTCCTACTTTTTTATCTAATTTAATGTATCATTAAAATGATTAATTTTTTTAATTCTTATTAGACCTATAATATTAAATGCATTCATTTATTTAATAACATATAAAAGTTATATACAAAAATGAAAGAAAAAAATTATCTTTATAACATTACCCATATAAAAATAGATGAAATCTTAATTAATAGTAAAGTGCCAAAAAAATGAACGTCTTATCAATCAGGTGAAAGCTAATCCTTGAATTTTAATTGTTCATAATCTATCTATGATTGGAGTAGGAATTAATGATGATGGGTCAGAGAATTAGTTGAGCTAATATTCACGGACTCTAAAATAGGGAAATTTGGGAGGGCTTAGGGGCATATAATTGTGAGGAAAAAAATTTGGGTAAACAATAAATAAGAATATATCATGAATAAGGGAAGGGCCTCGTTCATTGCGATTTCGCTGCTTTTTAATTTATTTCTACACTCGCGGGGGATTCGAGATGACGACAGCGTTTTCTGCTTTTGTTCAGGTGCTCTGAGCTCCACCGATGACACACATGCTCCTTCACTTTCAGATTTATTGTTCTTCATTAACTCACCATTTTCAGGGTACTTGCCTACTATACTATTTCTCTATAATTTC